CGCTGTCGCCGCTGGACGCGGAGAGCCAGGAGCGGCTGAAGGCGGAGCGCAAGCGGCTGCGGAACCGCATCGCGGCCTCCAAGTGCCGGCGGCGCAAGCTGGAGCGCATCGCGCGCCTCGAGGAGAAGGTGAAGGCGCTCAAGGGGCAGAACGCCGAGCTGGCCGCCACCGCCAACCTGCTCCGCGCGCAGGTCACGCAGCTCCAGGGACGCGTCCGCAGCCACCTCTCCTCGGGCTGCCACATCAACGCGGCCGCGGGGCCCGCCGCGCCGCCCCGCGACCCGCCGCCGCCCGAGCCCGCCGCCGCCGCCGCGCCGGAGACCAGCGCCTGCTGAGGGGGCGCGCGGGCGGCCGTTGCCCCGCGGCCGTTGGTCCTGACGCGGCGACCGTTGGCGCGCGGCCGTTGGTCCTGACGCGGCGACCGTTGGCGCGCGGCCGTTGGTCCTGAGGCGGCGGCCGTTGCCCCGCGACCGTTGGTCCTGAGGCGGCGGCCGTTGGCGCGCGCTCCTGAGGCGGCCGCTGCCCTCCCCAGCGCCCCGCGTCGTGGCCGCCTTTATTTCCACGCTTTATTATTATTATTAATATTTTTATTCCTTATTTATTCGCGCCCGGGCGAGGCGGTGCCGGAGGCCGGGCGTCTCGAGCGCCTCGGCAGGTTTTATTTATGTTGCACTAAGTTCGCCGAGCAGCATCGGAGGAAGGGAGAAGCCCCCCGGGGGTGGCCAGTGCTGTGGTGTCTCGTCGTCCTCGTTCTTGTTCGTCTTTCTCCCCACCGTCGACACCCTCCACGTGAAGGTCTGTAGGGAATTGGGGAATTACTATAATTCCAGTTTACAGAAAGATTGAACTTTTTTTTTTTTTTTTTTTTTTTTTTAAATTTTCCTGGGGGAAAAAAAAAAAAAAAGAGAAGAAAGGAGGAGTTTATTTCTTCATACACTTTCATGAAGTGTTAGCTGTGGAGGAGCGTTTCAAAGTTAAAAGCCAGAATCATACCCTTTTGAAAATATATGTGTGTACATGAGTGTGTATATATATATATTTAAAAATAACATGGCAATGTATATTTTCTTGGTATTGACTTTTTTTTAAATATGTCTTTCTCTAGAGCTTTAATTTGCTATTTAGAGTCAAGACTAGTATGTGAGTGCTCTTGCAAGTAAAGCACTTCAATGGCTTCAGTTTTAAAATCAAATCCTGGAGGAGGTCGATGTTGTAAATTTTGAGCAGGATGAAATGTATTTCGACTCATTCACAAGAAAACACTTTTCTAGACTGCGAGCTCCGTATTTCTTGTGCCAGTGCAAACTTGGGGCATTGATGGTTATTTATTGAAACTTGAACACTTTTTGATGTTGCCTAGACCTTATTTTTATAGAAAACATGTAGTAGTGGAAACGGTTACTTTGACAGAAGAGCTTTACTTACTCTTTCTTTCACTGTGTACATTTCAGTTGTGATCGCTCTTTCTATAGTATAGTGACAACTCAGTGCTATACTGAAAAGGGCTCAGATAAGTGGGGATAATAATGGTAATTCCATTGTACTCTGTTTGAATAAATTACAAAAAATATTATGGAAAAGTAGATTTTTTTTTTTTTCAGTAGATAACTGTGTACATTTCTTCTTGTTCTGCTTTATTCTAAAGCAACCTTTTGTAATAGCCTGGAGACAGAAAGAGTTGATGCTATAATGTGAAATGAATTTCTGGTTGGAAAAAAAAAAAAATGATGTGCTTTATTTTTTTGCCGAGGTGTTACAAGCAGGAGAGGGTAGAAAAGGGACCATTTTCTCGGATCAAATATAACCCTCTAGCAGGTTTTGAAAGCTCTATAAGGACTGTTCAGCGTTGAGGTGTACCTGTTTTTCTGTGCACCTGCGTATTTCAAACATACCTGCTAATGAAATGCTACTGAGTCCTGTGCTTGATGCAATGGAGTGGTCACTTCTGCAGGAACTCTGCTGGTACCAAGGCACCAGTCCTTGTTCTGCTGCTCCAGGGAGAGGCTGCTCCAGGTTTCTTGTTAGAGGATCCGGTTACAGAACAAGGCCTACCTTGCTCTGCGAAAATGGGGGGGAAAAAAGAGAAAAAAAAGAAAAAAAGAAGAAGCCCTGTGCTTGAACTTGGGGGGCGGAACTTATGTATATGCACGTTAAACGTGGGGCCTGGGGAGGGCTCCTCAACGGGAGAAGGTGGATGTGTCTGAGCCATTCCTCAGGTCTGTTAAACCCACTCAGCAGCTGCTGAACACATGTGTTACCTCTCCCAAAGGTGGGCAC